GCCGCGCTGCCCGAGGACGTCATCTGCAAAGTGCACCTGAAGAGCTTCGTGGAGCAGCAGGGCTTGGTGGGCTACGACCCCAATCTAGATGTCCTTCTCGGTGAGCCTCGCGTGTGCAGCAGCTCTAGTGCGACAGTGGGGAGGCGATCAGCTGCAAACAGGCCTGCGTCCTTTTTTACAGAAAACAAGGGGGTTTTAGATCCAAATTGCCTTCTCCTCTTATTCCACTTCAGTCTGGTTGGAGCCAGAACCACAGACCCGGTGGTGCAGGATGGCGGGGGGGTGGCAAACCCTGGTGTCCCGCTCTGAGCGTCCTTCCTTCTTTCAGTGACGGAGGGGAAGCTGCGGTCCCTGGCTGAGCTGCAGCAAGCCGTTCTGCAGTGCGCGGTGAGTAACCCCGCGGCACTGCCTGCCCCTCGCTTTCCAAACTTCCCTTCCGCCCCCTTCTGTCCTGCCGTAGCATTTGAGCTCCCTGCTGTGCCCTGCTGCAGGCTGGAGGCCAGGGGAGCTGCTGCAGCATCGTGCACGTGGTGAGCTGCGAGGAGGAATTCCAGCAGCAGCAGCTGGATCTGCTCTGGAGGATTCTGGATCCAGGAGCCCACACAGCTTTGCAGGTGAGGAACCTCCGACCCTCCTCACTGCGGCCCCCAGCATCCTTGCGCTCAGCCAGCCGCCTTCCATCCCCGCAGCGAGCGCTGAGGCCCGGCTTTGCCCCCTTGTGAGGCCTCCCCTTCCCTTGGCGGCCCCTCCACGCTCTTGGCCAGGTAGTGGAGCAGCCTCTGCCCTTGGGATCTCAGCACTAAAGAAGGGGCAGGAGCAGACTGCGGGGACACAGCTAGAACAAGGCTGGGTTTAGCCCGGTTCTCCTGCACAGCGTTTTGGTGGAGCTTCCGAGTCTTTGACCCCAGCCCAGCCCCATCCTCGCCTGTCTCTTTCAGAAACACCTTGTCTGCGGGCCAGTGAAGGTGACAAACCCCTCATCGCCCATCGGGGCAGACCAGTACTTCCAGTAAGTTGGTGTGTAACAAGGCACGTGCTGCTCTGCTCGCCTGCCAAGGCGCCCTGTGCCCTGCCCGGCCCTGTGGGCACCCAGGCAGCCACACTGCAGCGCTGACCGAGCCGGCGGCGCACGGAGAGTTCTCTGCAATCCCTCCGTTCTGCCTTTCCCTGGCCTCGGGGCTGTTTGGAGGACTGGAGGTGCAGAACGGAGGCCACAGGGCCCTCCCCAGTCCCAGCAGCCTCCCCCAGCAGTGCTGCTGCTGGCCCTCTCCGTGCTGCCAGGAGGCTGCCGGCAGGAAAGGGCGCGGCAGGGG